ATTTTAATTTGAAAAACTATAATAATTTTTTATTAAAGAAAATAACACCAATGCCTGGCAGTTGGCAAGGTAACAGTGTAATTGCTATATAATCAATATTAAAATTACTCACAAATTCTAAAGAAATAAAACATAACCTGATTGTTACTTATAGGAAAAATCTCTGCAGTGTTGGCTACAGTTCAGAGAAGAAACTTGCTACTCATCACTTATAAGGTGATGAGTAGCCCAAGATGAGGAGGAAGTCAGCAAAATATCCTTCCAGTGTCATATTTTCCTAACTTAGGAAAACCTATCACTGGTGCAATTTCCAGCCATGAAAAAGAATTATTCAGTGCTAGACTGCCTGGTCCATTTTAAGGTTTTAGGTAGTTATTTGAAATTTCTGAAAGGATGCAAGGATTATGAAAAGTGTCAGCACACACTATCCAAAAAGGACTATCAGTACTTACACAAGCTCAAGGCTGGAACAGCTTGATTCCACATTGCTTTGAAAGATAACACTGTCTGGTTCTTCTAAATTAACAAAAAAAATCAAAACTATGACTGGACCACAACTTAGAAGAGGGAGGGAAAATCCAAAATAAATCAGTAGATAACAAATGGCATTATAACAAACTATGACAAAATGTTAAGCGGAGATGGTAAGTTATGTTGAATGTGGCAGTAAATAAAATGAAAAATTTAATCTGTCCCCTTATTTCTGATGGGATAGCAGTACTCAATGGCATAAAATATGGGTTTATCAATCTGTGTGCAGTTAGCCCCATGCTTGCACTAATGTTCCAGCTCCCTTTCTGGCTTTAGTGAAGATAGCATACACATCTCCACCAGCCGACAGCCAGGGCAGGATGTAAGTACAATGATAGCAGCCCTGGAGTAGATCTACAGCATCATTGGCAACATGGGAAGGAATGTGTCATGAATACCAGAGAAGAAGCTGGAACCAGCTAAAGAGGAAATGGTGAGAGTGGCTGCAGCAACAGCAATACGTGAGACACAAAGGGAGGAAAGGAGAAAGAGTATGTCCCACTGAATAGTGAAAGAGTGATTTAAACCTGTTTTCTCATCATTAAACCACTCCCTCCATGCTCTGACCAACACAGAAGGGAGGGTGCAGCTCGGGGATTGTGGGACTGGAAGGGGTCCATAATCAACTGGGGAGTTGGGCAGTTGCAACTGTGGCAGTCATTTTGGTGTCAGCAACCCCTTAGTGAGGCTACTGTATCCAGACATTCAAAAACTTCACAAGCGGTGCCACGACAGAAGAAGCACGACAAATTGACCCATTATTTTTGTCAATAAAATGCCATATACATTAGTATATGCTGTACTTTATTCCAGACATAAGCTTTTGATTTTCCAGTTCAGGTCTTAAAGTACGCAAATTGAAATCTCGTGAAGATGAGTAATATTTATTCACACCTTTTCACACCTGCCATTACTCCTGCTATGAGATCATCAGGAGGGACCACTGAGTAAGAGCACCTGTGGCTCTCCAGATGTTTTTTGGGCTAACTCTCATGACCCCAGCCCACACAGCAAATGGTCTGACAACATCTGGAAGGCCACAGATTCTCCATCCTTGCATCAGAACAAGAAGCATAATCTGAAGTTGGCAATCTTAATGTGACAGGCTATATGAAACTACCTGGTGTAAATCACACTGAACTCAGTAAGTATTATTTACTAGTAGACATGTAAAATAATATACAACCAAACCAACATAACAAGGCCATGATCGTCAAAGGTTGAAAAATATAATTCAAATACAGGGTGAAAACATTCTTGCCAAAGGAAAAGAAAATATGCCAATGTTCAGTTTTAATTTTTTTCCAGATTAGAGAAACTGCTTTGGGGAAAGGCACGTGCACCCTTCCTAGTAGATGCAACATCTCTGCAGGCATTAGAAAGTCATTGTTTTCTACACAGAACTCAAGACTACATTACAGGATTTTCATTAATCACCACAAACTGGGAACACATCCATGGAAAAATTATATTAAAAAGAGTTAGCTGGATTTTCCATTCAGTTAATCAGCAAAAAACCAAGAGAATCCCTATTTAATAACGCGACTTTGTTAAAGGTTCTTCTAATCACATGGGAGTGGTTGTAATGTCACATTAAATCATAGTTTAACATTACAAGAATTGCTAGTAAGCCTTGGGCCAATAATCCCTTCCATTGGTACAACCACAAATATGATTTTCAAATCTTTCCCCTTCTTTTTAGATTAATCACATGTTATCCAAGCCTGGACAAACTATAGTTAATCTCAACTATGCTTAGTTGAAAAAATACTACTCCCATCTGTAATTTATTAGATTTTCTTGCTCTAATTAAACATAGTTTAAAACAAGGTTTGGATGTCACAATATGTTTTAATTATTCCAAAACAGAAGCAGAAGATTTTAATTTTCACAATACTTTTATATGAGATGAAAGCAGGTGTAGCAATGCACGACCCCAAAGCTTATTCTCACAGCATTAAACTATGATTTAGAATTACAGTTGAACTTAGTATAGCTTTCAATATCTTGCCTCAGTCTTCATGTGAAAAAAGCATAAAATAAAATGTTTAGAATGATTGTTGGTTTTACACACACACACACACACATCTGGACTAGGAATACTATGTATACTTTCCCTCAGAATAAAACATTAAAAGGACTGAGCAATATTCTTTAGAAAAGAAAAAAAAGCTTTATCATTTCATTTGTACATCTGAATATGTAGAAACATCTTCAGTTGTACGCCGCCTTGAGTCACCTTCAGGTTTGAGAAAGGCAGGATAGAAATATCATATACAAATATATAAATAAACAAACATACCACCTATGCATGTAATCAAGACTTACAAGCTACAAAAGTATTGGGATACAAGAAATGCAATGAGTTAATAGGTTAGCCTTCCTAAAGGTAAGGTAAAGGTTTCCCCTGACCTTAAGTTTACTCGTGTCCGACTCTGGGGAGTGGTGTTCATCTCCATTTCTAAGCCAAAGAGCCGGCACTGTCTATAGACATCTCCAAGGTCATGTGGCCAGCATAACTGCTATCTTCCCACAGAAGTGGTACCTATTGATCTACTCACATTTTCATGTTTTTGAACTGCTAGACTGGCAGAAGCTGGGGCTAACAGCGGGAGCTCACCCTGCTCCCCAGATTCGAACTGCCAATCTTTTGGTCAGCAAGTTCAGCAGCTTAGCAGTTTAACCCACTGTGCCACCAGGGGGCCCTAGTCTTCCTAACTGAACTTTAAATTATATGATGTTAATATCAGTAGAGAAAATAATAGGATTTGTGGACTGTTTTTTGATTTACAGTATTTTTGAATGGGATAAAACCAATTATTTGTGTCTCAATCAGTTTTTGATTAATTTAAAAAGAAAAAAAATAGAGAAACAAAGAAGAGTACTTTAAATTAACATGACAATTGATGAAAACGATCTTGTCATTTGAAAGCCAATATCAACACTAAAATTGGTCTCTGAAGCATACAAAGTAAACACACCAAGAGCAGCCTGTGAAGTAGAGACTTCCAGGTTTCTTTCCCAATTCTTAAAAGTACAAAGCCTATATGTAAATGAACATCATACTATTACAGAAGTATAATAATGTATTCCTGATAATAGTATAAAGAAGCAGGAAAAGATGAAGATTGCATTAAAGATAGGAATCCACAGCCCTGAGTCTGCAAGACCTGATTATTTGGTGACCTCAATATCACAGGTCCCCATAAGTCAAAGTAGATTTGGCAGCAACTGACACCCAAACAAGAGTGGATTCTGTAGAATGTAGCCAGAAGTTAGTATTTAAAGCCAACAGTGACATCTAGTGGACAGTGAATGTAAAAAGAAAAAAAGACATACACGTTGGGCTGTGCAGAATATTTCTTCTTTTATAATTTTAGACAGAAACTTTATTTCACCAGGTACAGGTGTTAAAGATCATACAAAAAAAAGAAAAAGAAAAAGAAAAGAAAAGACGCAATAATAAAGTTACATTCCTACCTTGTGTCTCAGAAGTTATTTCTGCTGTCAGTTAAGATGGTTGGTTTTGATGGATTTTAACTGTTTTGATAGATTTTAACTGCGATTTTAGTGCTGTTTGTGTTTAATTATATTTTAATTTTGCATATTTATATATTTTAAATTGTATACTAATGCTTTTATGTCCTCTTTGGGAAGATAAAGTGGAGTATAATAATAACAACAACAACTACTACAACAACAATAACAATAACAACAACAAAGTATGGATTGTCGATGTTGCAATCCAAGCTGACAGCAGAATTGACGAGATGCAACTGGAAAAGCTTACACGATAAGAGGATGTAAAGACAGAACTACAAAGACTCTGGCACAAGTCAGTAAAGGTGGTCCCAGTGGTGACTGGCACACTGGGTGCAGTGCCTAAAGACTTTGGCCTGCACTTAAAAACAATCGGCGTTGACAAAATTACGGCAAAAGGCCTACTCGGATCTGCATGTATTATTCACCGATACATCACACAGACACGTGGGAAATATCTGACGTATGATTGAATACAAAAGCTAGCATAACAGTCTTGTTTGCTATGTACTAATCTTGTTGTGTATCATATAATAATAATGGTCTGGAAAAATTCTAGCTAGCCGTTACAGAGTGCATCTCTACACTGTAGAATTAATGCAGTTTAACACCACTTTAACTGCCATGATACAATGCAATAGAATGCTGGCAATTGAAGTTTGATGAAGAAGCAGCACTCTTTGGCAAGAGGAGGCTAAAGAACATGTAAAACTAGACTAAAGACCTTGTAAGAATTTACGGAGTGTTGTAACTTGATTTCTCTTTCAATCTCAGTCAGTTTTGTTTCTGAAATGCTTTGGGTAAGCAATCTGAACTGAATAAATTTAGCATTACACATAAGTATATACAATAGACCATAAGTAAATCTTTCTCAAAGTGGCTAACCTGGTGTAACAAGTGCTTTGTTTTAAGAAACAAAGCACACTTACCCGAATTTCTTGTAAGTTGTGAAAATTATTTCCTACTCTGACAGAGATCTTGCTTGGAGTGTAGCTTTCATCTGATTTATAATCTGCATAAATACACAGGGTCTTCACAGTTGTTTTTCTTCTGAAAGAAAAAAAGAAATGGCATACTTGAAGTTGTGTAACACATATGGGTAACTTTCACTGGTACAGAGGTGCTACATTAAAGTCTCTAGGGAGCCCAGGAGCCAATGCCATTCCACTACCAGTTTCTTCTACCCATGCAAAGCTCAATATTTCAAATAGGAATTGTGTGGTCCTCCACATGAAGTTGAACTACAACTCCCAGCATATGCTGGTACATATTGACAGTCACTGTTAATCAAAAGCTGGGGGGACTACACAATTCCAACTGCTGCTTACACATTCAAGACCAAACACTTAATCAGGTGCATCTGATTTGAAGACATTAACCAAAAAACCTGCAACTTCATTCACATCTTTACATTTTTATTTACCCTGGAGAAGCAGATAAACAAAAATGCAGGCTTTCTTATACATAAATTTCTTTTTTTGTGTGTGTATCAGGAGCGACTTGAGAAACTGCAGGTCACTTCTAGTGTGACAGAATTGGCCTTCTGCAAAGACGTTGCCCAGGGGACACCTGGATGTTTGATGTTTTACCATCCTTATGGGAGGCTGGTCTCATGTCTCTGCATGGGGAGGTGGAGCTGACAGAGGGAGCTCATCCACACTCTCCCTGGATTCGAACCTGCAACCTGTCGGTCTTCAGTCCTGCCAGCACAAGGGTTTAACCAATTGCACCACCAGGGGCTCCTAAGTTCAAATTTAATGCCATTTTTCATTACAAGAAGATCCAAAACTAATGAGAAAAGGAGTTGTTGAGAATGTATGCCACAAAAACAAATTTGACAATTTATTATCTTTACCCTGAAAATAGGTTCAGTCTTCTCAAAAAGTGATTCTTGAGCCATTGATTGTGGCAAATATAAATAAACATACATTAATATGTATTGATTTTAAATCAATTTAAACTTAATGTTACTGGAATTGTATATGTTTTAAGGCACTGAATAATTGCCTATACGTAAGCCACCTTGAGTCCCCTTCTGGGTAGAGAAAGGTGGAGTATAATTAGGGTAAATAAATGAATAAACTAAAATGAATAAACTAAATAGCATAAGACCGAATCATAACAGATTTATTTTCAAATGTCAATACTGTGAGACATTTTGTACAACAAATAACTGTTTAATAGAAGATAATTACAAGAACTCAATCAGTTTAACAAACTTTAAACTCCGCATTGAAAAGAATAGTGTAACCCATGCTGTCCATCTTCTCCCAGAGCCCTTCCATATAGCTATATAACCCAGAATATCAAGGCAGAAAATCCCACAATATCTGCTTTGAACTGGGTTATCTGAGTCCACACTGCCATATATTCCAGTTCAAAGCAGAAAATGTGAGATTTTATTCAGCTGTATGGAAAGGGCCCCAGTGTAAAAAATAATGGCAGCTGCATACAATAAGTATTTATATTCATTTTTAGTACCTGAACTGAATGTTCACCAAATGAGGCTGTGATCCATCAGACTGCCAGTAAGTTTCTAGATTATCGTCTCGTAACTGGTCCACACCAAAGCCTAGTATGAACAACAACAACAAAAAAGATGAATATGAGCTTCGGCATTGCATTCCAGTACTGCTGGACTGTTGAAGCATAAGAGTTATGTTATCTATAGTAGGTTCTTAAGTCCCTGTTTCAATTCTGCTTTTAGGAACATGTTGAATATTTGCTGTTGAAGACTTTCCTGGCTGGAATCACTGGGTTACTGTGAGTTTTCCGAGCTGTATGGCCATGTTCCAGAAGCATGCTCTCCTGACATTTCACCTACATCTATGGCAGGACAAGAGGGATCCTCTCATCTCTGCAGGAGTCTACCGTATACCATGCAGCTGTGGACAAGTGGACACCAAACGCAGCACCGAAACACGAATCAAGGAACATGAAAGGCACTGCAAACCAATTCAACCAGAGGAGCCATCCATAGCAGAGCACTTGATGACCCAACTGGACACAGCATATTATTTGAGAACACAGAAATGCTGGACTGTGAAAACTACCACGTCACACTACACAGAGAAGCCATTGAAATCCATAAGCATGTGGACAATTTTAACAAAAAGGAAGAAAACATAAAAATGAACTGATCTGACTACCAGTATTTAAAAAACTCTAAAATCAGGACAGTAAAGTAAGAACAGTCAAAAACAGGGAAATCAATCAGGGCCACCTAATCACCTCCTAACAAAAGATTCCCCCAGGCAGGAAGTAGCCAAGTCTTGAAACTGCAAGGCTATTCAATGCTAATGAAAATGAGCAATTGCAGAATTCACACTTGTCTCAAACAGACAAGACTTCTTTTTCGCACCCTGGACATTCCACAGATACAGAAACTCCACTTGCCTTGTTTCCAACAAACCTCACAAACTTTGAGGATGCCTGCCATAGATGTGGGCAAAACGTCAGGAGAGAATGCCTCTGGAACACGGCCATACAGCCCGGAAAACTCACAGCAACGCATACTGAATATTATTATGATTGCCAGAGTAAAATTGAAGAAAGCTCAAAGGACTTAAATGGTTGCCCAGAATTAGGAATTTCAGTAGTTGCTCATTATTGGTTATGTGAAAAGCAGTGTCTGCTAAAATTTCCTGTTCTACACAATCCTTTTTCCACCTCTAATTACAACAATATTTCTCAAACATTAGCCTTCCAGATTGTTTATGTTTTTTAAAATGTATTACTTATTGCTGATTTTACATAGACTCAGAAGTTTCCTGCGCCTCACCTACAAACTGCAGCAGACATACTAATGTCATGACACAGAGTTTGGAAAGCTCTGCATTAGGGTGCCGGCTGCAGTGTGTAGGTGTGTTGCATGAACATAACCTATTTGAAATAGGCAATAAATCATTTTTTAAAATATAAATTAAATGTTTTCACAAGATATGTTGTGCCCCATACATTTCATTATTACAATAGATGTATGGGTCCTTATCTCTTATCAGGCATTGGTTTAATCTCCAGTTTGTTAGTAAAATTGAATTACTATGAAATGATGCATGCCTGAGAAGTGTGTTGTTAACATTAAATGTTTGGAAAGCTCTGGCCTAGAACTTACCCGGTTTACAAGATGAAAGTGACCACACAGCTTGCGATCCTATTTCTCTAACAGTTCCAGTCCTTTCCAGTTGCTTTGGATCTGCACCAGGAGGTGTTTTGTTAGCAGTGGTCATTTTCTGCTTACAAAACAAATGAAAAATGTATTTTTGCAAGCACAAAATTGCTAAGTCTGAATAAGTCTGCAATCAAATATAGCAATCTTTGATCGTGAGGCACAATGAAATTAATTTCCTCTTCCTTTGGAATTTTTCATTCTGTGTATATGCTAACTATAATATACTGAGAATACTCAATTATTTTGTGTCTAAACACATTACAGCATTTATTTGGGAAAGGAAACAGGGAACGAATTCGGTCTTTCTTACAGTGAAATATTCCCTAGAGAGAAAGTGCTGTGAACACCCAAACACAACTATGTTTCCCAAACTTTGGCCTTCTGAATACTTCTGAATAAATAAACAAACATTACCACTGCCATGGTGAAATCCAACATTATGCATGTGATAGGGAGTTTGAACAAGTGATCTTTCCCTTCTTCTCCCCTATCTCATCCATCAAAAAAATTCTTCAGTTGCATGTTTTAACATGCTTCTAGGGTATGCCTTATGCAGCTGTAGTGGAGAAGCAGAAATTCCCAAAATCACCTGGAAGAATAATGCACCCCTAACGGAAACTTCCCCAAAAACAAACAAATTTCCCCTGCCCACTGTAATCCTAGACTGCATTTACACAGTAGACTCAATACAGTTTTACAAAGCCTTTTAGACTTCTCTGCCAATGAGTGCTAGTGCCCCATCAAACTACAAATCCCATGACCTCATAGTAGGGAGACATTACAGTTAAAAGTGGTGTTAGACTGCATTAATTCTCCAAGTGTACTTTACTTTACTTAGGCAATCCCTCGTTGTCCGAGTATGATAGCCTTCTAAGTGTAGTGCCTTGGCAGTGGATATGTAGGTGACTGTGGAATCCTTTTCTTGATCTGCATGTTCTTCCACAGTGAGGGCATCGGTTTCCAGTGGAAGGCGGTTCCGGTCAGGATTAGCTTGACATGCCTTCCTCTTGGCATGTTTCTCCCTTTTGCCCTCCATTCATGCCTCTTCAAATTCTTCAGCACTGCTGGTCACAGCTGACCTCCAGTTAGAGCAAGGACCAGGGCTTCCCAGTGCTCAGTGTCTATGCCACCGTTTTCAAGGTTAGCTTTAAGCATGTCTTTAAATATCTTTTCCTGTCCACCAACATTCTGTTTTCCACTCTTGAGTCGGGAGTATAGTAACTGCTTTGGGGGATGGTGATCAGCCATTCGGACAACATGGCCAGTCCAGCGGAGTTGATGGCATAGGAGCATCGCTTGAATGCTAGTGGTCTTTGCTTCTTCCAGCCCACTGACATTTGTCCACCTGTCTTCCCAAGAGATTTGCAGGATTTTTCAGAGGCAACGCTGATGAAATTGTTCCAGGAGTTGAGTGTGACGTTTGCAGACAGTACACGTTTTGCAGGCATATAACAGGGTTGGGAGAACAACAGCTTTATAAACAAGCACCTTGGTATCCCTACGGATGTCCTGGTCCTCAAACCCTCTCTGCTTCATTTGGAAAAATGCTACACTGTGGAGCTCAGGCAGTGTTGTATTCCAGTGTCAATGTTGACTTTTTGGAGAGGTGACCCAGGGCCCTTCCACACAGCCCTATATCCCAGAATATCAAGGCAGAAAATCCCACAATATCAGGTTTGGACTGGGTCCACAATCAGATTATGTGGGATATTCTGCCTTGATATTCTGGGATATAGGGCTGTGTAGAAGGGCCCCCAGTTCAAAGAAGATATTGTGGGATTTTCTGCCTTGATATTCTGGGTTATATGGCTGTGTGGATGGGCCCGTGGTTAAATGTGGCCCCTTCCACACAGCTGTATACGAGGGTTGAATGAAAAGTAATGCCTCCACCGTTACTTGGGTTTGGATGGGAATATTTTAATAAATCAAATGCAGAAATAATCTTTAGAATGTGCTCTTTAACTACCACTATTCACATTTCCACATAATCAACAGACAATTGGATACATTTCTGCCAACGATGAACAAGTTTTCTGAAGCCATCACGGAAGAAGTTGACACTGATTCCGCAACCCATCGTGCACAGATCTTCCGATATCCAAGCAAAGCAATAATGTGACTCATATGTTCTTTTGAAATGCCCATTATGCTTGAAATTTCTCTCTGAGTGATACGATGATCATCCTGAATCAATCTGTCAATCTTTTATTTCTGAAACTAAGTGGTTGCTGTCACAGGACGTCCAACTCTTTGTCACGCATGTCTGATGTTCCCACCTCAATATCTTTAAACTTACTCACTCAACGACGCACAGTACTCACATGAACACAATCACCATAAACAGCTTGCATTCTCTGATGAATCTCCTTTGGGGTGACACCTTCTGCTGTCAAGAATTCAATGACTGCACTTTGCTTAAGTCGCATTGACCAACTGTCTGTGCTGGGTTCCATACTTTGCACGTTAACAACAAAACTGTTCAATGCTAAGGCTTCCCACCAAAATGGAACTGTACCGGAGAGTCTACTGAACAAGCCAGTATCTGCCGCATCCTCGTCTGTTGAGGAGTTACAAAGATGGAGGCATTACTTTTTCATTCAACCCTAGTAAAATCCCACATTACCTGCTTTGAGCTGGATTATATGTTAGTGTGGACTCAGTTCCCTTCCACGCAGCTGAAAAAAAAATCCCACATTATCTGCTTTGACTTAAAATATATGGCAGTGTATAACCCAGTTCCAAGCAGATATTGTAGGATTTTCTGCCTTAAAATTCTGGGTTATATCACTGTGTGGAGAGCTTTAGATGGGAGAAGTGAGGCCAGGATTGGAATAGGCAGTAGGCACCCTTCCATACAGATATATAACCCTGAATATCATGGCAGAAAATCTCACAATATCTGCTTTGGCCTGGGTTATCTGAGTCCACACTGCCATATATTCCAGTTCAAAGGAGGTAAGAGTGGATTTTATTCATCTATGTAGCACAAAATCTCACAATATCTGCTTTGGCATGGGTTATCTGAGTCCAGACTGCCATATATTCCAGTTCAAAGCAGATAATAGTGAGATTTCAAAGCAGATAATAGTGAGTTCAAAGCAGATAATAGTGAGATTTTCTGTGTGGCAGAAAATCTCACAATATCTGCTTTGGCCAGGGTTGTCTGGGTCCACACTGCCATATATTCCAGTTCAAAGCAGGTAAGAGTGGAATTTCATTCAGCTGTGTGGAAGGGGCCTAGGAAGTTACTACTTACGCGCCTCACGACCGGTGACAGTCGCTAGTGGCTCCTTGGCCACGCCCCCAAGCCCGTTGTGCCTCCGGATTGGTCCTCCCGAAGAGCCTTTTCAGCCCGCCCCCCTTATTGGCTTCACAGAAGTAGCTCGCGTCGCTAAGCGATGGCGTCACGCGCCGGGGCCACTTCCGGCGCTCCGTCCCTGTGGCTGAGCGGCGGAGGCTCCTCCTTCGAGGGCGGCGGCCATTTTGGCCGGGTGGCAAGCGGAGCACGTTGCCTCCGTGTCCAGCTGTGTAAGAGCCACCGCGCCCGGCCCGTTTCCCCTCCAGACCCTCCGCTGGTAAGTAAAACACCAGAGGAAACGGCGGCGGCCGTGGGGCCCTCGCTTACCTCTTGGCCCTTCCAGTTGGGGCCTGTCTGGCCGCTAGAGATAAGGCGGGCGGGGCTTCTTGCGCTGCTTCTCGGCCCTCTCTTTCTTCTGCCACATCCGCACTGTACAGTTTAGCCCTCACTTCAATAGTTATGGCTGCATCTACGCGGTGGAATGATGGGATCCTGGGAGCTGCAGCTTAGCGAGGCACCAGCACTCTTTGGCAGAGAAGGCTAAAGTCCTTGCAAGACTACAGCTCCCATTGTGTTGAGTCATAAAAGCTCAAATGGTGTCAAACTGCATTCATCCTACAGTGTAGACTAGGCATGGGCAAACTTCGTCCCTCCAGGTGTTTTGGAGTTCAACAAAGCGGCTGAGGGGGGGAAAGGAAGGGGCCTGAGGCTGTTAAGAATGGTGGGAGTTAAACTCCAAAACACCTGGAGGGCCGAAGTTTGCCCATGCCTGGTGTAGACGCACTCATGGACCCACCAGACGGGATCTTGGGACTTGTCAGTACCTCACCCTGTACTACACATCCCATAGGGTGGATCCATACAGGCAAAGTGCTATGAAACTGTTATAATTGTGTGAGGTGTGTGCATCCTCCCATCTTCAGAGGTTATTGAACCCTCAGGCGTTGTCACCACCCCTTTTGTTAACAGCCAGCTTGGCTCTTTCTAGAGCTTATCTTAAGCAGACAGGCTGCTGCTTTTGTTAAATGGTCCATCTACACTGCAGAATTAATGCGGTTTGACACCACTTTCACTGCCATGGCTCAATACTATGGAATCCTGGGAGTTGTAGTTTGGTTATGCTCCAGCACTCTTTGGCAGACAAGTAAAATACCTTGTAAAATTATATTTATTTGTTTGCTAGTTTTTTCCCCTCTCAACTGAGTCTCCAAGCGGTGGACAGTGCTCTTTTTTCGTGTCAGGAGTGACTTAGAATCATAGAAACATAGAGTTGGAAGAGGTCTCAAGTTCAACTCCCTGCCAAGATGCAGGAATATTGTATTCAAAGCACCCCTGACAGATGGCCATCCAACCTCTGTTTAAAAGCTTCCAAAGAAGGAGCCTCCGCCACACTCCGGGGCAGAGAGTTCCACCGCTTGAACGGCTCTCACAGTCAAGAAGGTCTTCCTCGTGTTCAGATGGAATCTTCTTTCTTGTAGTTTGAAGCCATTGTTAAAAGAATGCAAGTCGCTTCTGGTGTGAGAGAATTGGCGATCAGCAAGGACATTGCCCAGGGGGTGCCCAGATGTTTGATGTTTTATCATCATTGTGGGAGGCTTCTCTCATGTCCCCGCATGGGGAGCTGAAGCTGACAGAGGGAGCTCAACCCATTCTCCCCAGATTCGAACTCAGCAGTTTAACTCATTGCACCACCGAGGACTCCACTGTGGACAGTGCTAAAAACAATGTAATGTACAATAAGAAACATAAAGGCTATAAACATTTAAATTGAAGTAAACCAAAAGAGTTAAGCCAACTCCCACGATTCAGTAATATTGTGCCATGGCAATTAAAATTGTGTCAAGCTGCATTAATGCTATACTGTAGATCAGGCATGGACAAACTTTGGCCCTTCAAGTGTTTTGCACTTCAACTCCCACAAATCCTAGCAGGCACTGTTAGGAATTGTGAGAGTTGAAGTCCAAAATATCTGGAAAGCCAAAGTTTGCCCATGCCTGGTGTAGATTCATCCAAAGTGTTCTTCAAAATCATATCCTTTTTAATCAGAAACATATTGTTCAGAAATGAGAGAAGACGGTGTCATCAGAAGTGGAGTCCCATTGTCTACAGGGGCCTATGTCTACATGGTTTTTTTCCATCAGCAAACGCAAACCTGTTTTTAAAAAATTAAACCTGCACTAGCTTTTGTCAATTATAACTGTTAATAAGCTTTACATTTGCAGTTTACTTGTTCTTGTTCTCTATTACATTGTGTATTGTGAATGTAGAGAGTGAAATTACAGCCCTGATATCCAAACAAAATGAAAGGTAGTTTCTTCATGTTTTAAATGGTCACAAGATGTAACTTGGACACTTTGAAAAGCCAAAGAGGCATGCTGAGGGCTTGTTTTCAGCAGTTGATCAGTGTCATGCTCAGACAAGCTAAGGCAGTTATTACCAGTTTGCAAACTTTTAATAATAATCAGAGGTCTGAGAATTGCAGTCTAAAGCTAGTCTTACCTTGTTGATAGCCTCTAGCAAATGCATATAGGTTTGACGTTGTAGGGAGAGATTTTGAGAATATTAATATTGGTAATGGTATCTGCTATAATAAGAAAACTGTTGTCAGGCAGAAAATAGAATTCTATCTTTTATATCTTGAATTTCCTGTTTTTGCAGTATACTAAGGAGGCACCAACGGATACCAGATGGTGTAGGCTGTATTTCTGAGGAAGGAACTGACAAAACCATCTTTGAATATTCCTTTTCTCAAAAAACCCTGTGAAATTCACAGGGTTGCCATAAGTCCACGGGTGACTTAAAGGAGAAAATAAACAAATTCTTCTTTCCATAAAAATGGACACTTTCACTGCCAGGTTTATTGCAGAATCTTATCCAACAATAATCACTTTGAAGTTATGGGAGAACAAATTGGGATACTGTATTCTACAGTAGGTTCATGTTTTATATACAGGATCAAAGAGAAGGAAAACAAAGTGAACAGTATCATTTTCTAAGAAAGCTGCTACTTGAATATAAAGAATCTCTTGCCATATTGTGTGTGTGGTTTTTTTTAAAAAAATCCTATTTTCATCTTTGCTTAGATACGTATAACTTTTCAACAATATTTGATATTCTTTTCTTTCCCTTCTTTCTCCGTCTTCTTCAGCCTCTGAAATACAGATTGTATAGTAATAACGGTTGTTACTATCTGTGTTTAAAGAATTCATGACTTTATATTCCAAAGATGGTCCCCCCACTTAGACTAATTATATGAATTGAATAGGACTTGTTAGTCACAGCTAATTTAATCCCATTAACTAGTTTGGACTAATACTGGTTTTAGACCATAAAGATAAGTCATCCCACTGAATTTCCAGTCTACTGAAGACTGAATGATATGGGCACAGAATGGGTAAGAAGAAGAAATCTTGGGAACATCTTTATATGTGCTGGGGCTGGAAAGTTACAAGCAGATCACTGATCTGCAAAAGGCAGTTATATTATCCTGAGCATTTAGAACACTCTAAAAGAAGTAAGAGTGGTCTAAATGCTCAGGATAATATATCTGGAAAATAACAGATTAGGAAGGTTTGTCTTGAGGTTAGACCTATGCAGTTTGTGACCCAACAAGCTGGCAATAATCCAGCTTGCTGGGTTTGTAGCCTTTCATTGTCTCTCAGCCTTTGATGGAGTACTATAGATAATATGGTTCTGCATGACTTTTTCGGTATAATATTATACAATTGGGATAGGTTCACTTAGTTTGTACTGTCTCTTTGTCAAAGTAGTCTTCCATCTTATTTCATTATAGGCAAGCTATGTATATTATCTCTCTAGTACAGGCATCCTCAAACTGTGGACCTCCAGCTGTTTGGGCCTTCAATTCCCAGAATTCCTGACAATTGAACAAGCTCGTTAGGGCTTCGGGGAGTTGGAGGCAAACAGTTGGAGGACCGCAGTTTGAAGATGCCTGCTGTAGTATATCACACCTTTATGTTTGATAAGTAAGGTCGCGTGTTTGTATTATATTGTTATGCTGAACTTAATAATTCAAGGAATCAAATCTTATCTGAGCAATACTGATTTCATAATACAGTTCGCTGATATTTGGTCTGAATGGGTAAAATGCCAATGACATAAGGCTATTTTTAAACAAAAGGTTTCAATACATCTTTGTCTATTTTGCTTGTAAGACCTGATTTTCATGATAGTGTACTTATAGCTAAAGATCACAGCCAGAGTCATAACTGGAAGCAAGCTAGCACCTTATAATTTTGCAGCGTCCATTTTAGTAATTATGGTGAGGTAAGAAGCATAGCAGTCAGAGATAATTAGATTGCTTTGCAGAAGGCAAAAGTGTGATAATCTTGAAGTGTGATATTCTCTCAAATGAATACTATTCTCAATTATTTTGCTTCTGTGTAATTTCAGTTCCTTATTGTCCGGGTCAATAAGTAGAGACATCAGACTGGCAACAAAGATCCGCCTAGTCAAAGCCATGGTATTCCCTGTAGTAACCTACGGATGTGAGAGCTGGACCTTAGGGAAGGCTGAGCGAAGGAAGATCGATACTTTTGAGCTGTGGTGTTGGAGGAAAGTTCTGAGAGTGCCTTGGACTGCGAGAAGATCCAACCAGTCCATCCTCCAGGAAATAAAGCCCGACTGCTCACTGGAGGGAAAGATACTAGAGACAAAGTTGAAGTACTTTGGCCACATCATGAGGAGACAGGAAAGCCTAGAGAAGACTATTATGCTGGGGAAAGTGGAAGGCAAAAGGAAGAGGGGCCGACCAAGGGCAAGATGGATGGATGGCATCCTTGAAGTGACTGGACTGACCTTGAAGGAGCTGGGGGTGGTGACAGCCGACAGGGAGCTCTGGCGTGGGCTGGTCCATGAGGTCACGAAGAGTCGGAGACGACTGAACGAATGAACAACAACATTGTCCGGGTCGTTCAAAAATTCCATTTGACTGGGGCTGATGTGTGCATACTGTACTAATCCACAGTCTTTATGGGTATCTTATATCATGCTAACTAGCCCAAAAAGTGGC